TTTTTATCGACGTTAATATAATAATATCTTTATTTCAGCGAAATTGAATATATGTCAGAGAATATATTGTGTTATCACGAGCTATGGATCCGAAAAAAAAGAGAATAATATATATTCTTCCTTTCGGCTCAATGATCGCGATCGCGGTCTGAGGTGACATTAATCAGCCTCGATACTCATCTCGCAACGTTGCTTGATATTAAATGAGGCACAAAAAAGAAAACGAAAACGACAAATGCAGCATTGAAATAAAATAAGATAGAAAATCTCGTCGTCGCTCAACTGTAGCTCACTGTATCTCTTTTTACCATTCATAATTCTCTCGATCATCGAATACTCTTTCTTCGGTTTTTTTTTTTTTTTTCATTGTTGCATTGATGCAAGGACCACTCAATATTATCTCCCACTGCTAGCCACTACGATCTGCTTAATTGATTTGTATATTTGTACGTGATTCATCACGACATGCGTCCATGTGATAGGACAAGTCGGGCTTGTCAAGGTTTGACCGGCGAACATTCGATCGATACTTAAAAATCGATCGATACTTAAAAAAATCCGTGAAAAAATCCCGCATGCGATATCAAGATTTATTATCTTATGATTCACGAGGGAATTCGCGAGAATTCGTATTTGCAACAATAGAAATCGGTGCCAATAAAAACAAAAGTAGAGATATTCTATTAAAAAAAATGAAGAGACATATAGAAATACACATTTTACACTTTGAAAACGAACGAACATGACTATAAACAATAATACATATATAATCATGTGCATTTACAGAATGTTGCGACCAATCGTGCTTTTGTTTTAACTTTGTAGATTCTTTTTGATCACTAACGAGTCAATTTTCCATCGTAAAAATGTTATACATTATTTTTTAATTATATGCGATAAAAAATAGAAGATTTTGTGCAAATTACAATGAATCTGATAATTTCGAATAGCAACATGTTTAAGAATCTTTGAGATGTCTAATGTCAAAAAGAAGAAGATGATAAAAATATTACTATTCTTATAAGAAATTCTCGTTCTAATAATAATAATAATAATAATAATAATAATTTTGGGATATATAATAAGATATATATAATTTTGAGAATAATTTTGAGAATAATTTTGAAAAAAATGGCTCAGAATTGATCAATGAATCTTTAGTTGAAGGAAAAAGCACGCTTAATCCAAGGCATTCCTCATATATAAAACTGGCTCCGAAATATGATCTATTTGCTTCAGAAAATTGTCAATCTTGCTTTAGCAAAAATATTCTTTTAATCTAGATGAAAAAAAGACGTTACGTAAATGGATGAAATTAAAAAAAAAAGAGCCCGCCAATAAACGCAGCGAATGGAATTGGATCATCTCCCAGCCAGAAATGCAAACATACGTACACACACAAACACATAACGCATCATATACACATGCATATACAATTCTTTAATAAGGAAAAGTGTTCTGCTCGTCGTTAAATATTCGTCGTTAATCGAGAGCTGTTCTGTTTCATCGCGATTGTTCCCGCGTAACGTACTCGACACAGTTCTACGGTTCCAATATCCTCTCGATTATTTTTACTGGATAATATTGTGTTCAGGCGTTATATTAATCAATGTTTTCTTGCATGGAAGCTCGATGTGCAGTTGCAGACTCTTTTATCTGTATTATATATAATTTTATATATATATATATATTACATATTTATATATCATTACATTTATATATATATACACACACATAGGAAATAAGGTATAGGGCGATATATATATATATTCAGACTGTCTTTTGAACACTATACTCCTATATCTTATCATTTGTATTGAATGTTGGATGCTATTATATTTTTTCATAAGTCTAACAACTTTTTTATCTGTCGTGGTCATGCGCGAGGAAAGTCTATTCGTAACTCGAGACGGGAGAAAATGTAAAGGGAAGAAAAAGAAAAGAAGATAAATCGCGAACGCATACGAAATCGCTGTTTACCGAGTTTACTTATTCCACCGATAAACGCTCTCTCTCTCTCTCTCTCTCTCTCTCTCTCTCTCTTTATATATATATATATATATATATATATATATATATATATATATATATACTATTATTCTATAATTGAGTGGATAACTGCTATTATCAAGGGTTTTAATTTTCTGTTTTTCTGTTTTCTGTTTTCTTGTCCCGTCCATCGACATTGCCCTGCGGCTGGGCAAACAGGATTTCGAGGTATCAAATCAAATAAGTCATTGTTTGTTATATAAATTATATATAAATTCAGTATATGACTATATACTCAGTGTTGGCCGTGTTCCGGAGATGCTTATTTATTTTTACCATTACTTTTGGCCGTATATTATTATATATACCATTATATACTATATATATCTACCTACATTCTTAAATTGCATTCGAACTCACTGATCTGCTCTGTCTATCTTTACTGTTTTTTCTACGATCGATCGGTGTTAGTTGTAATATATATATATACACGTATATGTATCTCTCCGTTACGATATTATATATATATATCATAAAGCTGATACTTCTCTGGAGGTATCCAGTAATGAACGATGAAATGCAGAACAGTGTTTGCCGCATTGATCGAAAGTCCGACACAATATACTTTATATATTGTATATCGTTTAGATGAAATATTTGTAAGTAGTGTTTAGTGCAACTTGTAGAGAGCGATGTTCGATGCACACACAATGCAACTATATATATATCTATATAGCCTTATCACTCGTACATGAAAGTCCATACACAGTCATTTTGTCACGATCATCATTTTACAGCTTTCACGTTTTACACACCGTCTGAGAAAATTCATCGCGAAATTCGTTTATCGTAAATCTTCGCTGTCGTTGTCTGTTTATTCGACATGATCGAGTCGTGGCAAAAGTCGATTTCATCGATGACAAGTTTTTCCCCCCAGATTACTCTTATCTCTATATAACGTCTTTGGAAGTAAACTCATTGTTCTTCGTTTTCTTTCTTTTATTTCGATTTCGATTTTGGATGAGAATAATATACGAAAAAAATTAAAAATACAAGCGGAATATTGATGCATAAGATCTGTGTTCGTGAGGGCGAGCTGTAGAACGTGTTTCATTCATGTAGTTTTTGCACAAATCATTAAGATTTCGAAGTGTAACCATTAACTGTGCATCAGCAAACCCGGGTAGTACATACGTCAACACTATCCCTCATTTATATCACCATCGAGAAATCGGGGGGGCGATATTTCAAGAAATGTGTACTACGTGAAGAGATAACGAAACATGCAAATAAATACATTGAAGGAGATAGATTGCAACATAAAAAGAATTTAAAAATGATTAATGAATTTAAAATTAATATAGGAAAAATATAATATAAAATATGTAATTAATATATAAAATTAATTTCTGAAATGAATTTAAAAATGATTTAAAATCATTCCCTCAGATTGGGTCTAATAATTATTGTATTGTTTAATAATCGACCGCGAGAAAATTCGCCTTTTCGAAAATTCTGTGGAAGGAATGACAAAACATTTTCATCTTTACGAGTCGAATGTATTCAAATGACTTCGCCAGAGAAGGATTTTCGGATTTTCGAAAAGTTTTTTCGAAATGGAGATAGCCCGCGATTTATACAGTCATGACACATGACTATATACTCGCTCGGAATCGCTCGGAATCTACTCATTCTACACTGCTAGTTATGTAGTAGAGCAATGATTTTTCGTGCTGTTTAGTGATCGTCCAACGTACTAGTACCTGCGAACAGGACTTGCTCCAAAAAAAAGGAAACCCCGTCTTGGAAAATGCGAGTCTCGACCTTCTCGCCACGATATATTGTTACACTTCTTTGGCATGGCATTAACATAATGTTTTTTATTTACGACATTATACCGATATTATTCCGATATATTGTACCGACTCATTCCCCCAAGAAGTGACATTTGTTTCCTCTCCCCCTTTCTCGATCTCTTTTTCTTTCTCTACCCCCCACGACCGATATATATATCACGACCGTGCATCATTGTCGATCGTATCACGTCCGCCGGTCTGTATTAGATGATACAATTGCACATTTTAGCAACTTATCGACGCTAAGCAATCAGTGACATTTTACGATTGAGTTTAGGCCATCTCCAGAGTTGCCTGCCGCTATTACGCCTGCCGCTATGTATCGCTGACATTGCTGCTGTCGCTGATGCTGCCGCTGTTTGCCGCCGCCATCGCTCTGCCGCTAGATCTTGCTTAAAAGAAATATATTGAGATTTGCGTAATTGCTGAATGATGCATGGTGTCTTTGGTAGATTTTAGTCGTAGAACAGATTCCTGACTCGCTTATGCGAACTTTGATTCTCACACCGATAATCGTTTTCGCAGAACTTGACAAAGCATATATTTTTATATTTTTTTCTTTGTTGTCATGTTAAATATGTGTATTGTTTATTCAGAACAAGTAATATAACATATTTTTTGTGTAATTAAGTGACGCGTCAATACACAGAAAAAATAGTTTTGCTAAAATATTTAAAAGTTTTATTAGATGCAGATCTAAAAATAATTTTGTTAGACCATATAAAATAATTATTAAAACGTTTAAGTTGATTAGAATAATTTTTTCAATATTATTATTACCATGTTTAAGCGTCTTAAACATGGTAATAATTATTTCGGTCTAATAAAATTTTCATTTATTTAAATTTTATCATATCCAAATTTTTAAATATTTCAGCAAAACTATTTTTCTTGTGTATTTGCATTTTAAGTTATGTAGATCAATTATGTATATACCTATACAGCAATATTGTCGCAATATTGTTGGAATATTGTTCTATTCGCAATGTTCTCTGCTATATGGGTATTATGTTTACAAAGAAAAAATCGCGTTCCTTAAAAATTGCCAATATGAAAATTGAATTTTGCGAAAATATTCCATTGTTCGCTGCTAAATTTGCAACAACTATTAAACAAAGTTGAGCATGCTGTTTACGAGACAATCATTGTAGCTATCGGAAAAGTTCATGCTGTATGCTGCATGAAAAAGTATTCATAAGATTCGAGTCTTCCGATTTCATTTCTCTTATTTACGAATATTCGTATCTGTTTTGCACGTGTAATGGATATATTTCTATTTCAGCGTTACTCATATAAATATGATACTCACAATCTTTTACAATTTTACAATTTTATATAGCGCGATTCGATGTTTGTTGCACGAACGTTATCGCGATGACATCTTTTAACATTCTTTCTTTTCGAAGTGAAAATCGCTCGAGAGTATAAAGTTATTCAAAATTTTTTGTAATGCGAATGTTAAAACGTTCGAAGCACGTGGTAAAATAAATATGCAAAATATATGCAAAATAAATATTTCCATGTTAGATTTTAATTGCTTGTTCCACACGTAGAAAAAAATGATATTTTTTAGATGAAATTACATGAGAGATAAATACGTATTTTTATATTTTTCAAAGACGGAAAAATCATGATCTATTCGTGATGTTACGAGAGTATCGTTCTGTATCTAATCAAGTGCAAATTACATTCAATTATTGCGTTTCGTAATTACTGCGTTTCAACGTATAATAATAGTAACACAATTATTATAATTATAAATCTTATAATTAATTTAAACAATAATTTTTTGCCCGATGTACGTCACGTGCGCTATTAATAAATTATTGATAAAAAGTAACATACTGTTAAAGTTAAAAAAACATAAATGCGTTGAAACGGCATGTAAATCAAAACAAAATGACAAAAGTATAATTCCGCTAATTGCACTGTAATTAGTTTGCATTGTGATTTCTTGTACAGTGACGTGCATCGATTAGGACAGATAGTACAAACACATTTTTTTTATGTATTTTTTTATGTCACATTTTTTATGCAAAACCTCTCGAGCGCATCTATGGATTCTAAGATAAAAAGATTCCATCAAAATATACTATATAATAAAGAATTTTCCAAATTCTTGCACTTACATTAATCAAGAGCATGAAATAATAATGATATAAAAATAATTAACAATCGGAATAATATAAAAATAATTTTAATAATTAAAATATAAGATCAGATAATCAACTGTTCTTGATTAATTAAAGATATGGTAAAATTAGCGCTCAAAAGGTAGAAGCAAACGCTTAATCTTCGTCGGGCGAGCATCACAATACATTCTCACGCCTATTTTAGAAAGCTGTTCGCACACACGACCGATATTGCTATATCGACGTATATGATAATGATAGGCAAATAGAGAAACGTCAGAATTGTGTGCATGATCGAGTAGATCCAGACTCATGACGCGCGATGCGCAAACCACTAACGCAAACCGATTGTGTTATTTGCAGTTTTTTGTAAGACTCGATCATATCCGCAAGTGCTTTACTCAAAAGGATGGAATCTTTGTTTTGGAAGAATTCAGTAAGTGAACACACCGAATACTGCACCGATTATCATACGCTTTTACACGCCGTAGGTATCTCGTGAAAAGAGATTAAAAAAAAATCTAGATACTTCTAACACTGCTTACGCTGCAATTTAGCTTTGGTCACTGAATGTCGAAACGTCATCGGGCATCTTTCTGTTTCAGATCCTAAAACTAGACAAGTAATTCAACGTAAATATAAGTCACAAATGGTGAGTACGCGTGTATCAAAGCTCTTTTATATCGGAATAGAGAATATCTATCGTGATGAGAAAGACTATCTATTTTCAGAAAAGATTAAAGAAATATGTAACTGTTTTTATTTTCCAATAGAACAGTAATTTAATTTTATTGTAGCCATTATTTTATAATCAGATAAAATTTATTTTATACACACAATATACAATAATAATTTTTTCACTTTTATAATTATTTATTTTACAAGCGTCTAATGAACATATAAGATATGATCAGTTATAATTTAATTACAGGTACATTTAATTACAAGTTATAATTTACTTTTAAATAATTATGTTAGTATATTCAAGAATAGAAAAATGTCAAAATGTTCAAGAATAGAGAAATGATAAGCATTTTATTACTTTATTTATCGTATACATCTATAGCTACTAGCTAGTATATACTGTATAACAGGCTGAAGAGGCGGTTCGCTGCTTGCATAGAATATTTTCCGTGGAATTTACTCTTAATAAACTTCCGTTGGAGACTCATCAGAAACATAAGCGCGGGAATGACGCCGCATGAAACTTATCTTTAAGTTTTTTCCTTTTTTACATCTCACGTAAGTTTATTTTTCCGTTAAATAAGTTTTTATTTTGTATTTTTTTTAAACTATGTTTCAAAAAACAAGTTTTATAATTTAACTTGCCATTATTCAACAAAGTTCCAGCTTTAATTTAAGAGATTGATTTTACACATACACACACAATTAAAAATAAATAAAAATTAGTAAAATTTAATTCGATGATTATTTTGATTTCTGACGAATTAATTTCTGATAGATAAAAAGAATAATTTATATATGCGCATAATATGAAATACCTTTTTATTCGCAGGCATCTGATATTTGCTACGCTGTTCTCTGCGTATTTTCTTACGTGGCGGCTGGCTCCGAGCAACGAAAACAACAGGGCCAACAGCAGCAGCAGCAGCAGCAACCACAGTCACAACCGCAATCACAACCGCAACAGCACACCTTACACCCGCATCAACAACGTCAGCATCAACAACAGCAGCAACAGCAGCAGCAACAGCAGCAACAGCAGCAGCAGCAGCAGCAGCAGCAAAATTACCAAACCCGATATCCTTATCAGCAACACAGACAGGAGCAATCGAGCAATGTAACATCGCAAATGCACAGAAACACGCAATTGGACCCCTATTCTCGTCAACACTGACACAGGCAAAGATATTCGCTTCCCTTCGTTAGCATTCACGACAAAAATAATTGCGCCCCTTACGCTTGTCTACCCTGGGTATAAATGTATGCTACCTCTTTTCCAGAGAATATACTTTATTTGAATATTCACAAAACGTCGGCAAAATGTAACAACGACGTTTCGTTTTCATTTAAGTTCTCTTTGGATTTTGGCTAGTGTTCTTTTTCTCTTCCGGGGATGAAATTATTGCGAATGGTAATAACTAAAATTAAAAAAAAATAATAAATCGACATCTATCCTTAGCTTAATTCGTTAACATCAAATTTGCGGCGCGAATTTCTATTGTGTAGTTCTGCGTCGATGTGATAGCTGTGGTATTCTTGTATTCGTTCACGTCACACGTGTACGTGTCACCTAAAGCAATTAAATACAATAATTACTCGTAATTGGCGGAATAATTTTGACAACATGAATACGCCACGATACAAAGAGAAAGAGAGATTGTGATCGTTCGCGATTTGGAAGAGCGGAAGGATATATTTTAGTGTAATAAAATCGAAGTAAACAGTCGACGTCGATCGACGAACGCCAAATTGCGAGTCATCTTTGCTGACTTTTGATTAGCGCTGTCGAAGTTACTCCTGTCGTCTTTTAGCGTATCGATTTTCTCTCGCGATGAAACAATGAAATATAGATAGCTCTCTATTCGTATGCTGTCTCTCCTCTCTTTACATCTGTGATCCAGTCAGTCGATCATTTCTATCTATTTTGTTTGTATCTAAGCGTGTACACGAGATCTTAGCGAAAACTGTCGTGTGTAGAATATATTTATATATATAGAGAAAGAAACGTACTGTCACTCTCGATGTCTCGAGCAGATACGCAGTGGTCATTATTTTGTACAGTTTTCGATGAAGAGGAAGAAAGATCTCTCGATAGCTCATAGAGCGTCCGTCAGGGTACATGTGATGTCCCCCCCCCCCTCCCTCTAAAAATAGACATTATATGTAATATAATGTACAATATCACGAAACATCTAAGACGACTATTCTCTGAAATGCTATGAAAAATTCGTTTTCCTATGACTCGCGCGAGATTTAGTTTAGGCGCTAATTAAATAAAGTGTTTAAAGTTAGACGCGGAAAAACAACGAGATTCGGAATCGGAATCGGCACCAAGTGCGACATGTCTCTCATGGAAATTGTACTTTTGTTGTATTCTCTCTTTTTCGATATATCCGTCATGTTATAATAAAATGCGTCGTGTAAAGTACACAATAGTAACGAACAACACAATGACCAGCTTAGGAAGGAAGGTGTAAACTTAGACGCAAACTCAGCGTGGAGTAAACGTAGTATACGTCTACTTGAGAAGAAACGATATATTTTCTTGCAACGTATAAGAGACGTACAGATATTTGTAAAAAAAGAAAAAGAGGTAGGATTTGTAAATATAATAATTGGTAATGTGCAGCAAACGACACGAGAGAGAGAGAGAGAGAGCAGGCATGAATATCCCTTTTTATTTCTCGTTTTTAATACGATACATTAGAACTCGCGTTTGTCGGTTGAGTTCTGAGAGAAGTGCATTTTCTAAGTGCGGGAGAAAGAGGGAGGACACGTTCTCTTCTAAACATCTAGAAAAAGAAAAAGAAATACATACATACGCGATCCTTTGTACCAAGTTTGTCTGCCTAAATCCCGATGTTTAGAAGTTCGACACGTCGATCGACCACATTGTCATTTCGAGATATATCATGATTACGCGATAAAAAAAATCTTAAACCTCTAGGAAAGAGAGAATTAATACCTCGCATTGTATAGTACTCATCCATGTAGACGCCTTACGCCCAAAATATACTCGTAGTCAAATCGAAATTGTATGATAATCATTTTATTCCCTAATACTTTATTTAAGCATGATTAAGATTTTTTTTAGCATTTATATGCTAACAATGCTCTGGAATAAATGTAATTACAATTTCTACGACGATGTTGTTTAATAAATAATTACGGGCGACATACGTGGACATACATGCACATGTTAATGGCCTCTTGATTATCCGGTTGTTAGCTATTCATTAAGCTTAATTGATAAATCCTTTTTGTCGACCTCGAGATGTGCTTAAAATGATGAACAGAAAGCATTTACATCTCATATTACGTAATAATAATTCGCAATCAAATCTAAAGGAAATTTAATTAATATCTCGAAATATCTAAATTAATTGAAGAATAATTTCTTGCTTAGAATTAGAAGGATTTTAATCAAAATTAAAATCTTTCTAATTCTAAATAAAAAATTACTTCTCGATTTCGTTCTGTAACATTAATTATAATAAATATAAATTATAATAAATATAAATAATTTTATAAAAAAAATTTTTTCATATAAAGATAAAATTTATAAACAAAAAGAAGTATATAAATTAATAAAATTACATAATTAAATATATATAAAGGTATAATTATAAATTAATTATAAATATATAAATTTAAATTAATTGATAAATGTAATTGAGAATCGAGTGAAATTTTTATCTAAAATTGATTTGCAATTAACAATCGAATTCTTTCTGTTTTTCTAAAAAAAAGATTTATTAATTTTTTTACTTAAGACTACAGAAAAGTCGAGATTTATTCTAATAAACAAGTGTAATCATATCCAATCAAGGCCAAGCAGTGGTCAGTCGCGAGCTATAGGATTTCATACTTACTGGTAAAATGTCTGCCCTCTTCATTTTTACGTATCGATGTCCACAGGTTGTATGCGTGATCTCATTACCGAAGGCTTTTGTATGTCTATTCTCTAATTTCTAACGACGTTGTCGCTAATAGAAGTTACAGAATAGGCATACGCAGTCCGCAGTCGCGTCTCGAGTCTCGTTACATTAGGATGGAGCGATGGGTTGGAAAAGTAGCCGTGGTAACTGGTGCCAGCGCCGGAATCGGTGCAGCGATCGCACAAAGTTTTGTTAAACAAGGTGAGAAAATTCTCCAATTATGACAAATAAGCATTGCATTAAAACTTACTTTTTATTAGAAAAATAAAGTGAAGAATTGCATTCTGCAAATCACTCAAATTTATCTCGACTCGTGTCAGCGCAAGATAATTGTCGACGTTAATCGTTCGCTAATTGGGAAGTTTAATAATCACCGTTGTATTCGAAAAATAAGATATTAATGTGTCCTTCGGAATGCCTATAACAAGAATGTTAACAAGAGAAATTACGTAATGCAAAACAGATTTATTCAAATTAGCGTAATATAAAGTTTATAAGAACAATAGTTTTATTATACTAGGTATGATAGTGGCGGCTTTTGCAAGAAGAGTGGATAAAATTAAGGAAATCACCGATAATTTGGTGGATTCCTCGGGGAAACTCCATCCCATAGAATGCGATGTTACTAAAGAAGAAAGCGTAACCATGGCTTTTGCATGGGTAAAGGACAATCTAGGACCGATAAGCGTTTTGGTGAACAGCGCTGGTGTCACCAAAGAATCCTCGCTCATAGGTGAAAATTTCTAATTTCAGTAAGAATTTCATACAAATTTGAAAAAGTTTAAGAACGTCTATTTTCGACAGGAGGATAATTGTTTATTTAAAAAAAAAATCAATATTTTTGTAAAGAATGATATAAAATTTCGGAATGCTCATCGAATATTATTTTCCTTCAACACATTGGAAATGTCAGAAATTAACACACTTTACAGACGGCACTCTGGAGGATTGGCGACGTGTGTTCGACGTGAATGTCCTGGGACTCTGTCTCTGTACCCGTGAAGCTGTGCGTATGATGCGTGAGACGGCGATCGATGATGCCGTCGTGATCCACGTGAACAGTTTGGCCGCCGAAAGAGTGCCCTTTATTCCAGGATTTAGCGTATATCCGGCGTCGAAGCGTGCTGTCACCGGACTTGCCATGACTTTGCGACATGAACTCGCAGGCACGCGTATACGCGTCACGGTAAAATATTTAATACATGAAGCGAATGATCATCGTATTTGAGAATCTTTAAAGGAATGTTGTAAAATCTGTTATTTGAAATTACAATGTTAAGCAAGCAAAAATATTAGAATTCAACAAAGATGAGGTCTAAACTACTGAGTTCTTCTTTTTGCATTTATTTTAGATTTATTTCACGAAGTATCGATGTACAATTAATCGTTTAGTATATAATTTAATGATGACTGAGAAATTTAAAATAAAAAAAAAATTATATGATATACGCGTGCACGCATGAATTTTAAGCTTACATTTCTCTATTACATGCAGAACATCAGTCCCGGTTTGGTCGCAACGGGATTCATGGCTTCCTATAGCGTGTTTTCCCCGGAAGCGATGGCGGCAATGCCGACTCTAGATCCGGAGGATGTTGCAGCAGCGGCGATTTACGTGTTATCCAATCCCCCTCATGTTCTGGTAATATTGCACATCTCTAAAGATTTTTCTTTCATAATGATCTAAATATAGAAGTTTTGGCCGAGATGATATTTTTTACAAATCAACAAATTATTTATACGCTTATTAATTTTTAATATACTTATTAATATAATTAATAATGAAATTAATTATCAATCTAATAATGATGGTATTGCGAATTCAACATTAGCTTTCAATTATATTTTAAAACCAACAAATAATCGATGTATAGTTTGTTAGATTGAGAAAGATATATAAAAAAAGATATTGCATACTGTTAATTGCAGTGCTAATGCAGTGCTGACTTTTATTTAGCCTTTATCTCTCACTTATTTTTATAGTTTAATCTCAAGAATCTTTATTTATACTTATTTAAATCTAAAAAAATAATCTTGTTTCCGCAGATACAGGATGTCGTATTGAGACCTCTGGGTGAATCATGGTAACCAATATCCAATTATATATTTTTACATACACACACACACACACACACACACACACACATTATATATCTAAACACTATAAAATTATATATATACATAATGTTGAGTAAAATATGCTTTTCATGAGATTAATAAAAAGGACTTTTCTCATCTCTTTTCATATCTCTTTTCTCTATTTCCTTCTTTACTCCAATTATGATTATCATAATCAAATTAATTAAAATCAATTAAGGCTTGGTTCTCTCGCGGGACGACATGCGTTATGTGACGTTAGAGGTGAGAAATGAAAAAAAGTTTCTAATTCAATATAACTGCAGCAAAAGAGATTAATATTAGAATTAATTAATTAAAATATTTATTCTATCATGTAAGATTTTATTCTAATATATAAGTCAATTAGAAAACTCGCTTATATCAATAAAATAATACTTGTACTTAATATGAGTTTATTTAGAGTTTACTTAAATAAAATATAATAAATCTTACATATTCTTGAATATCATTGCAACGAGACTGTAATGAGAAACTTATTGAACGATGATGCCTGTTGTCATTTTTCATTGACGTCATGTTTTCAGTATTGTAAAAGATTTCTGTAATGATTGTTGAGTGTAGAAAGCGATGATCCATGGACTGAAAGAATCGCTCGTAAGACGAGCGAAAGAAATAAATGAGCGGAGACGCGTTCTCACGCAACACTTGTGGTCACTTGCGAATCCTCACTTCCAACTGCATCAAACTTTGCATGCAGATTTATTGATGAAACAGGTCGTTGACTGATTCACAAGAAATTCTTAACGTTGAAACTTCTGATGCAATATTCCTAATGAAGATATCGCGGAACGCCTTATCATCTTCTTCAGAAATCCTCGCGCAAATTTTCATCAGCATCCTCAGTCCTGCGCTATTTTTAATCTGGAGAAGATAATGTTTTAAAATTGGATATTAATTGACCCTTAAATGTTGATGCTGATTTTATTTTTGTTTTTGTAATTTACTAACTTTTACTAAGCATATAATTGTTCTATGTTAAATATTAAGATAATATTTATAATATTAGATAGTATTAGATAATAGATAATATTTAAAAAGATATTTCAATTATTTTAATATTCACATTTTGTCATGTTGAATGTAACTTATTCAGGGTAGTAACTAAAAAATTGAAAATTAATCAATAAAAAGTTAATGATTTAACTTAGTTAATTTTAAATAAATTAATTTATAACTCCAACTATTATTTATTATTTTTGAAATACATATACTTTAACTTATTAACTTTTTTTATTTATTATTTTTGAAATACATATACTTATTTAATTATTTTTGAAATACATATACTTTAACTTATTAACTTTTTTTCTAACTTAAAAATTTACCAATGTAAAAGAAAAAAATTGTAAAAGAAAAAAATCCCTATTTCTGTATAAAAAAAATATCTTTGTTATTTCAATAAACTTAATTTCTAATTTTCTCTTATTATTTCTATAAACTTAATTTACAAATGAAATCTTAAATTCATCTAATGATCCATATTGTAATTGTTTTATTTAGAATATTTTAATTATGCAACTTTATAAAAAATTACATTCTAATTTACAGAATTCTATTCTAATATAATATAATATAATATAATATAATATAATATTCTAATATAAATAATTCTAATATATTTTAATAATGCTTTTAAATAATGCTTTTTAAAATTAATTTTCAATTTAAATTTAATTTAATTTTAACGCAACTTTTAACGTAATTAAATTATTAACTTTTAACGTAATTAATTAAATTAATTTTATAAGTCGTTAACTTTAATTTAATTTAGTTAAAGATATATTAAATTACCCAACTCTGATCTTATTGTATTTGTTATCTAAGATTTATAAAAATTTTACTTTGCATCAAAACTTAATTTAGATTAAATAATAAATTTTAAAAAATATAAATTTGTTGAAAAGTTGAAATATAAAAGAAAAATTAAATACAAATATTTTATTTCAACAAAATTTACACTATTTACACAAAACTAAGCAAAAAGAACATGATACGATGATCATAGATAAAGTAACTATCTTGCATAAAATACGAATACTTTAATTAATAATATTCCATTTTCGCGATAATTAATGTTCGTGAATGCATTTCAATAACGATGATACGTATTATCTGCAAGCGAGTTCGACGCTAAGTTTTAGATGAAGTATCACTCTTCTTTCAACGAGACTCGCACGCCAAAAACAAGCGGTAATATCGCGAATAATATGCAATACTCACGCGAGAATGCATCATCCAGAAAGCTGTATTGTTCCAATCTGGAATACTCGTAGATTACGCGCGACCCCCTAATCGAGGGCCAAACTTTCAGCGTGGTATAAAGAGATGTCGAGGATGTGGATGGGCATGCAGAAGCTTACGTGGCAGTAAGCAGCAATTTTCTCTCGCTTCGACGTTACGTGAGCTAGCTTAAAATCTTCAGCATGAATCTTGTAGCAAACAAAATCGCTCTCGTCACCGGTGCTTGCAATGGTATCGGCAAGGCGGTCGTGGAGGAATTGGTATCGAAGGGACTCAAAGTCGTCGGCCTCGCCAATGATATAAACAAGCTGAAGGTATGTTTAATATTATTAAAAAATACAATAGATCTGTGTGAATCAAGCTTTGGACCATTTAATAAAATAATAAAAAAGATACTAAATTATTATTCATAATTATATTTCATAATTAATAATTAGTTATATCTCTCTTGATCTTTGTAGAATTTCGCAGATGAGTTGAAGAGTAAACCTGGCAAGCTTTATCCTCTTCAATGCGATTTGAGCCTTCCTAACGAGATTGAGGGCGCATTGGAGTGGATAGAAAAGAATCTGGGAGGCGTGGATATTTTGATAAATAATGCTGGCATCAACTTAGATTGGTCTAGCATCAATGGCGGTATACAGGAACTTAAGAAGACTCTTGACATCAACGTTCTCGGCATAGCGTGCATCACCAAGGGGGTCCTACAGCTGATGAAGAACAAGGGTAGGACTCGATTATTTTCAATGTATAATATCCGATAATTTATAAAAAAAATGATTTCTATGTCTCGGTTACTACAAATGAAATGATATTAGGAATCGACAACGGTTGTATCGTTAATGTTAACGATATATGCGGTTTGAAATGGTTGCCTCTTGCTTCCGACCGGCCTATTTCTCCGGCGTATGCTTGCAGCAAATCCGCGCTGAGTGCGTTGACCGAATGTCTTCGTCTAGAATTGGCCCAGAACGAGTCTAACATCAAAGTAATTGTAAGTAACTTTGAAGTGCACAATGATAAATTCATTAAGAATCTATGTATAAATGTGTTAATTTTATTATTTCAACATATATGTATTTTAAGAATAGTTACAGCTTCTTTAAATTAGAACTTTTTAACATTCCATTTCATGCATGAAAAGAAAATTTAAGAATTTACTACTAAAATTACTTATTAAAAAAAAAAAAAAAAAAAAAAGAAAGAGAGAGAGAATATTTAAAGCGAAATATTAAAAAGTTATATTGTGTAAAAAAAATAACTCCTAATTTCAAAGAAGTTATACAAAAAAAAATCGCTTTGCCTGCTACTTTTCTTCAATATCTATTAAAACGGTTCTTCATTTTCTCATGGTAGAGCATTTGTCCTGGCTTGGTGGAGGTCGAGAACAATCAGCAATGGTTGAAAGAAAATCCACGAGTGACTCTGAAACCGAAGGATGTGGCGGACTTTATTATCTATTCATTGCAGACTCCAGAAAACGTGCTTGTCAAGGACCTCATTATCACGCCCATTCGGGAAATTTGAATTAACACCGGATGAAATTGTTGTCTATGATAAATATTGTAATTATTAGAGCACATATGATATGGCAAATCAAATAAAGTGCTAGCAATTCTTAAATATATTGTTGAATTTGTCGCTTTAATTTTTTCACAGATTAATTTTATATATTTTTTGGCAATATGTAGATGATTTTAATAACATTATAATTTTATATTTTTAATGACTTTTCGAAATTTCTATAAAGATTTATAAATTTATTTGTAGTATTATTTTCCGCATTTTTTATTCCTCTCTTTAGTTCTTCGTGTTAGATATCTATTTTAATTGAAATTTAAATACAGAAAATGCATAAAAAAATGAATAGATCCCACTTCTTTGCGTTGCAAATAAATAAATAACTTTAATTGTTAATCATTCTATTAATCATCAATGTATTTATTCTTGAATACATTTGCATTGCATAAATGTTTTACTATAAATACTATGAATACAATTATTGTTTATAAATTTCCATATGGATACGTGTTTAATATTATAGCTTTGAAGAAACGCATATTTATTATATACTAATGAAGCAAATAAATAATACAATTAAAACTTCTATATAATACTTACCCAAAAAGACCATAGTCATGACTTCCTTTATTTACAAGACCATAAAGTACATTAAAATCGTACTTTAAACGCATGATGTTGCAGAACTGCTCGAAAGCGATAATTAAAGGAAAATAGTATAAAATAATGCTGTGTTTATATTGATGTATTTATTTGCAATTGTCCCACATTTGCCAGTTTAATAATTCACAAGAATTCTGATACTGTTACGAAAAGAATTGCAAAAAAGCGACAGGAGAATTCTATTTAATAAAAGTGTGAAGCAATCGGTGTTATATATTTAGTGCCTAGTTGTAAATCCTAAATTCAATTAGATCCTAAATTTGTACAGCGCAGAGAATATTTAGATATGTACAATGCGCGGAGTAATAAATAAAATTAACAGATGATTTGTATGTGATACATAACAAAATATATGAAATATATGCAATAAATCATTATTATCAATTTCAACCATCATGTTTTAGATATCTGTCAAACATCATTGCGAGACTTTTATAGATTCGACGTTATCTCCTCGATTGTTATACATCATTTGTTAACAATTAACTATGGAAGAACAATATATACATGATAACAGAAATAACATATAAAATATTAAAAATATACTTATCTGTGATGTTAATAGAACAAAAAAAGGCAGAGTTGTTACCAACTAATCATTACTATTGTCACGAAATCTGTTTTCTGTGTTATACACAACAAATTTCACAACAATGAAAATGAAGCTGAACACAGGGAGGATTGATTATTAATGCAAACATATTTTAAGACTTTGTCGAGGCAGGCTGTATTGCGTGTTACTAAATTGCGTTCGGCCTTGTTGGTGACAAAAATGAAAATACGAATATAAGAATATTTTCGAAGAGAGCATGCAGAAATAAATATCGATAGTATTTCAGGTATAAACTGTTTGCAAATACCTTACGACAAGCCACCATTTCATCCGCTTTTCATTTCTCCGTGAGAAAAATGACATCCAATTATCTTGTTAATCGACTCCGCTAAACACGAGTTCCCAATTCCGTATCCGACCTAGGCGATAAATCCGTGAACTCTATGAAGCGCGAACGATATCATGCTTCCAAATCCACATTCTTCCACATCGCATATCGTTCCCTTATGAATCCGAGTGATCCGCTCGACACGATCCGATGAATATAGCGCAGGCAATTTTTTTTATCCTTATCCAAAAATATTCCGTTCATGCATACTAATTTATTCCCGTTCCGAATCCTGCCAGCGTCCTAATCCAAATATATTTGGAGAATCCTGTCCGTCGTACGGTTCGTACAGAGTTCCTCTAAAATTATGAAGCCGGCTCCCGTCAAGATGACAGACAGGTTGCGTTATTCAATTACCATCCTCTTGTTTATGCCAGTTAAATCCTGAAGATTCGCACTGTGGTTTACAATGTACGCGAGAGAAAGATGCACTTGACGGTCACGATTAGCCGAAAAAACGGCCATTATCGAAAAACACGTTTTTTTTCTGACAAATGGATTTTAAATTCCCGATATTATTCAATATACGATATTAAGCGTGCGATAGTCTTTTCAAAGAATCACTTCCACCTTTCAGATTAACACTAAATACGAAATAATTCATATGTAAGGGCTAACAAAATTGAATCTAATATTGACATTGTATCAAGAAGAGGGATAAATATCATACCAAAAATCCACCCTTAATTAATGAATGAACCAAAAAATTTATCTTCACTAGTTCAAGAAACTTTAGAGTCATAAACCAAATGCTTCCGAACGAATCCAGTTGTAGTTGACAATCCATTACTAGTTTGACTATTCAGACTATAAATAAATTAATAAATGCACAGAATGCTTTTTCTTTTTTTTTAAATCGATACGCGAAGATAATATGTAACTCGAAGCACTTAATCCTGATAAGCACATGACATAATAAGGAAGTTCCACTCTCGTTATGTTTCTCTTTTAAAACAGCAACACACAAAAATCTTTAATTTCAAACTGGAATTCTACTAATTTAAAAAAAAAAAAAAAAAAAAAAAATTAATGAGCGTTCATCGCCTCCTCGTAATGGACTTGCCAACGTTTCCAGCAATTGAGAATCCTTCCTCCCTCCTGATCCTGAATTTCCTCTTGAAAGTATCCCGTTTTGCTATTCTCATTTTCATCTATGTCTTTTAATCCTTATTAATCCTTTTATAATTTATGCTCTCCATATCGCAAATCCTCCAAAACGCAATCCATCTCATCCCAATGTCAAGCGAATGTGTATTATATCCATCCAAGAAGTAAGATCGTGTTGATTTCAGTTTTTCATTCATTGTGTTACAATCCATTCCAATATACAAAAGAAGAAAAAATACATTAGTTTCAGTTTCTTATACAATGTAAATTAATGTTAGATATATAGTTTAAATCAATGCAAATGCAATGCCTGTGATTATGAAATCTATATATAGGAGGACTGTATGGCAGAAAAAGATTTTAAATGTTGCATACCTTTTAGGAAGAAATATTTGTATAGTGAAAAAGTTAAAAATTAATGTACCGAATGAAAATCACAGGATCACTTTGCAAAAATAGCATAATATACACGATCCAATGTTTTCCTTTCAAATGTGTGCTCAATTTTGGGAAATAATTGAAAGTTCCAAAAGTGCATTTAATTATGTGCTTGTGAATGTAAGAGAAAGGAAAACACACAAATAGAGAAATGCGAAAGATAATATACCAATCGATCATTATTTCACCGCATTTCACCGAATTCCTCGTGTATCACTTAAAATGTATTATAATCTGGATATGTAAATATCCAGATTATTTATATATGTATATGTATGTTATGGACACATTATGCTGTATATTTTCACACGTTAAATATCTAAATAAGTTAGATACTTTGTATTGAAATAACATCAAACGCAATTTGCAAAATCAGGAAATGACCCACGAAACATTAAAGGTCATCCAAATGTCTATTAATGTCAAATAATACAATTGTGTTATTATAAAGCGAATTAGATTGTATGCGAATGACAAGAAAAAGAAAGATTTTTGCCGATATAATTTCTGTGTAGTATATAATAAATATTAATTGTTACGCTCATATGTTTTGTACGTATATGCGCGATATATTGTCATCACTACTATGATTTATTTCGATTCAAATAATAAGCAAGATGTGTAAATGAATCGTGTAAACAATCTTGAGGTATTTATTTGTATGTACAAGTTATTTGTTAGAGTTAATATATAATTGTATCCTATGTAAAAAAAAAAAAAATTCGTAAAATGTATGTATATAAAGTATCATAGCATTTATATACTTTCTTCCATTACATATTTTTGAATATTTTTAAATTCAGAAAATTTAAATGAGTTAAAAAACCTGCAACTAGTGCACGATATTTCTAATATACATGACTCCGTTACTTCATTTCAACTATGTTTCAAGCGATTAGATATGCAAAGTCTGTCAATTTATATTTGTTATCAGCAATTAATGACAAGGAATAGGCACCTTACGCTAAAATAAGTATTAATTTAAGCTCTGATTAATATTTACTAGCATTTATAAAGTGTGTATTTATATGTTTTAGTATTTATAAACAGTTTATCTCTCATATTTTTGTACATGTTTCTAAATGATAGAATGTAACATTTACATTATATGAGATAAAACTGTTAACATTTACATAATATGAGATAAAACTGTCTTGAAAGTAAATTAAAGTTTAAAGATAATTTAGATTCTAAAAGAATGTTAGTACATTTATATAATAACTATGGAAGATAATATTTTTTTTTAGGCAAGCTTTAAAATTTTGTGTTTCATTATGCAAAGTATATCCAAATACAAATGAAAACTTGAGCATGGATATATTTTATATACTACATTAAAGTAATTACCATTGTTAGAAACGTGTATTAGTAAACGAGTTATTGTCAGTGAAGAATATACATTAATGATGTTGGTATATTTACCACTTATAATCAAAGTTAAGCCAGAATAAATGATAGCTAAATATTAAAAATTTAGATCTAATTTTGTTTCAGAAGGCTCATTAATAATACATCAAAATTGTTACACATTTCATAAGTGGTAGTGATGACAAAACAAGTTGACAAGTATATGTGAAGGAATGTATCTTTCAATGTACATTAGATCCATGAATTTGAATGAGAAATAACTATTACGAGCACGATTTCACTTTTTTAAGGATAATAAGATTCAATAGGATTATCACAATTATCTTGAAATATCCAGTGCTATTGTTAGACTGATGACTAAAAATGAAATCGCTAAATCAACTTGCTTCTGGATTGAATGACATGTTTTTCAAAAGTAAAGAACTTAAAGTATAATCGTGACGTATATACGAAATAAACCGTGCTCTAATTACACATCAGAGATACAATACAATTAATTAATCAGTTAATAAAGTCAAGCAATCAATTCAAGAAATTAATTTAAATGTTTTTACAAAATTCTCGTTGGACTGAAGGAAAAGTTTCCGAGTGAAGTTTAAATCAGCAATAATGAAACATGGTAAAGAGCAAATATCAATATAAACCTGTACTTATATTACCATGTGAAACACATACGTACACACTAGTCGTACGAACGAGATCTGGAGCGAGATCTTGATCGCGAATAATTACGCCGTAATGGCGAATAAGTAGGAGAACCACGACGTCGTGGACTGTAACTGCGAGAACGGCTACGACCTCTTTCCCTATCTTCGCTGCGTCCTCTATCACCACCGCTATGATCTTCCTTCACCCGTATGTAAGCTACCTCTCCCTAGATTAAATCCAATATTAAAATGTATCAAGAGTAAAATAAAATAAATTTATATATATATATAAAATAAATTTATATAAAATATATATATATATATACACATACATATACATTTACATATATATATATATATATATATATATATATATATATAGTTGCGCAAAAGCATTTGAATGATTGCTTGTAGATCAACTTATTCTTACTAGGATGAGTAGTGATACATCTATAATTAAAGTAGCAGAGAAACCTGTTGTACCTCGTGTGATCTAAATCTCGAGTCATCCAACTTTTTCACAGCATATTTCATGTCATCATGCCTGAGAAATTCGACCACTCCAGTGCCATCCTTGTAAACATCAGCGAAGCATACATCACCAGCCTCGCGCATATGATCCTTGAGATCTTGCCAGCTACCCGAAGGAGGTAAACCACTAACGAGAACTCTATATTGTGATCTACGTGCTGGTGGACCACGACCACGAGAATTGCTCATTTCACCGCGACCACCTCTACCGCTATCTCCAGCTCCACGTCCACCACGAAAGTTGTTGCTAGGTCCACCACCTCGAGGAAACTCCACTCTTAGCCTATAGCCATCATAGTCATAACCGTCCCTTGCATGCACTGCATCCTCTGCATCTCTAAAAAATAAAATTATTTTTGTTTTTATCTAACAGATATGCAATCTCAAAATACTTTTGTAATAAGATCATTATATAACATTCGAGTGAAATGTCCACTTATAAACTTAATGATAACAAATTTGCAACATATGATACTATATAATATGGCACTGATGAAATATTGTAATCAACACAAATTAGAGTTATATAAAATAAATTAGAGCATCATTAAACATTATTTTATACAAAAACAAAATTTTATAGATATTTTAACACAATGTTAACAAATAATGTATTAAATATTTTATATTTTAAAACAATGTTATATGCCTCAAAATAGCTATATGCAAAAACATTTTTATTATAAAAAAAAAAAAAAAAGGAATTTTTTTTATTTGTCCGAGTCGTTTCTATCATCCCATATGAAGATTGCTTCATAAATGTAAAAAAAGGGCAAATAAATTTTTCGAGGAATGTTCATTTCATTCATGTAGATTTCGTCATTCTCATTCGAATAAATTACGTCGCATCGTTTCAGGTCTATGGTCGCGCGCGAGGTCGCGCGGCCCGTTAAAATAAAATGATGATAACAGAACGAGGATTGCTTAAGAGTGATTTACGCAACATAAATACATAATACAAGTACGCAGAACGCAATTTGTAACGTGACGGGTTTTGTTAGCTCACCTTGGATCGTCGAACTCAACGAAAGCGAAAGGCGGACCCCGGCGATTTTTCAGGTCAACGAAAGTAACTTTACCGAACTTGTAGAAGAGATCTTGGATATCCTTCGTACGGATGTCCGGCGGCAGATTCCCAACATATATTCTACATTCGTTTCTACCGCCGTGAGACATGATACTTGATTTCTCGATATGCGCGGGTTGCCGGATCGTCGCACCGCTTATATACACGAGATGGTTACGATGTTGTACGTGGATCTCAGAAACAAAAAAAACACAGCAACGTATGTATAACCGATGGATGAGCAACGGCGCGATTGGCGTGTATGCTCGCAAAACGAAGGTCTGTCCTTCTCTGTTTTTCTTCAGTCATCGGAATTAACCGAAATCAGCCGAAAACTGAAAGTCAATCAACGAATCGGTTTTCATGAAAATTTGTTCCACGGATTTAAGTGTCGGTCCACAATAAGTATTTAACTTTAAAGCCGTAAAAAATTGACTAATCATAGTCGAGTATTCTTTTCACATTCGATTATAATTGGTCAATTTCTACTTTTTAAAGCTTAAATCATCTATTGTGGATCGACACTAAAGCGGTGTCTACAATAAGACTTTAAGACATAAGACTTAAGAAATCACAATCACAATCACAATCACCATCAGTTCGGCCAATCACAATTAGTTATTCTTCTATAAATCGATTATGATTGGCCAATTTCTTAAGTTTTACGCCTTAAAATCTCATTAGTGTCGGTCCACAATAAGTATTTATCTTCAAGTCGTAAGTGTCAGTCCACAATAGGTGATTTAAGCTTTAACAAGTAAGAAATTGACCAATTATAATCGAATATGAAAAGAATAATCGACTATGATTGGTCAATTTCTTACGGCTTAAAGATTAAATACTTATTGTGGACCGACACTGAGAAAGTCGTAAAAAAAGTGGTTGACAATTTCTTACTTCTTAAAGCTTAAATCACCTATTGTGAACCGACACTATTGTGGACCGACACTTACGTTATCGTTGCGCAGATATAATATATGGGAAAAAAGCTGCATAACGACATCACTAGCTAGTGAAACTGTCGTTAAAAAGTTAGAGAATAGGCCTACAGGGTATTTAAAATCGGACAGCACTCTAAGGATGCTTAAAAGGATAAAAATAAATAAACAACGGAAGGAAATTGCAACCATTACTCAGAAGCAGAATATTAAGTACTAAATATTTATATGAAATAAATTCAAATAATTATATCATCTATCATGTACCACTATTTTTAGCAGGTGTACAATGACGGTTCTACAATTTGATAATCAAATTTTTTTATATTGATAAAAATATAATTAAAATTGAATTAAAAATTAAACTAAAAATAAACTAAAATTAAACTAAAATTAAATTAAAAATAAATGTAAAAATAAATTAAAAATAAATGTAAAAATAAATTAAAAATAAATGATCAAGAATCCACGAAAAAATATATTTGTAATTTAATTTTAAATTTAAAATTTATATCCTCTTGACATTTCTGAAAATATTTTGCTTTTTTGTTTTCGACGGCTTCAAAGCTCAAAAGTGCCTTTTCATGCTGACGTTTGATAATTTTTCGCGACAAAATAAGTCACGTGAGTAAACTTGATACAATATAATGAAATTTGAATGACATTATTTTTGATGACGTGATGATTTTAATGACATTTTGATCTCTAAAAATGAATGTCGAGCATCAGTATAAAGAAGCATTTTAAAGATTTCTTTTTATATCGACACTCAATATTTATTTTTAGTGTCAAAATGGATCACATGATCAAAGTTCACGCAGAATGAGACTGCGTTCAGCAGAGAAAGCAGCTTTGCAACTGTTGTAAAAATCTTTGATATGATTGGTTTCTGCTATTAGTTCCTCATAGATCTAAATATATAAACCAATCATGTTAGTGGATTTTACATATTGCAAAGATAGTTTTCTGCTGAACGCAACCAATGAAATTTAAATGGTTACTTTGACCGTCATCTATTTTGAAAATGAATGTCGAATGTCAAGATTATCTCGACACCTACGGTCGAGAGATTATTTGACAAAAATTGGCAGCCGTCGCTACCATCGAAACACGGCATAAAGTTTCATGGGCGTAAACCGGGCATACTCCATATTGCATTGGATCTTGTGGACCCAGCGGAAATAATGACGTCATGACATGATGTCTTGAGGTTTTAAGGCGCAGGCGAGAGGTGAATGCCAATGGAGTGATACATCGAGAAGTTGTTGCAATAACTTGTTCCCGGATTTTGGATCGTACATTTTGGTGGATCTCTTCGTTTGATGCGATTGAGTTAGGGGCGATCGTACATTGTTGAAAAGGAGAAGCTGAAGTAATCAGTTCATTTTTCCTGCTCGTTTTTTCTTTGATGCAGGTAAGTCGGACTTGCATAGTACATAGTCTCATCTTATCGATATCACCTTTCCCCTCGCCAGCGCGTGTGCGAGGAAATGTGACATGACGCTCTTTTCGGAGATGCTGTTATCAAAGTTATACAAGAAATATCACATCACATCTATTGGGAATAAAATGAGCGTATTATTCGCTGGAGCGTCAAGAGTTCTTATCGCACGCCCGCTTGTCAAGGATACAAACTTGAAAAGAATAATTCATAATATTTACATTTAACAGAATTATTTTTGAATATTTTATAATATATATTTTAATAATTTATTTGTTTTATTTATAGAATAATTAGCTAGTCTAAGATAAAAGAGAAAAAAGAGAAAAAGATCTTTGTACGTAACAAAGCTCATAAATTCCTAAGAAAACTGACTCATCGCAGTTGATTATTTTTCAATGGCAAAGAGTAATCGATTCTAATCGATCAATTATCTTATGGATTTATGATTAAAAATTTGTTGCCTACAAAGATCTCTAAAGGAAATATTACAAAACTTATAGAAGACATAATTCTAAGGAGTTCTAAAGAGATTTGTATTGATAAATATTTGATAACAACAACTAATTTTAAATAATATAATAATAAATTTATCTATTAACTTTATTTTGAAATTTTTATATGTTTTAGGATAAAATTTATAAGTATAATATTTTTGAATATTATAAAATTTGAAATAATTTTATTATTAGGAAAATAAATGATTTTAAAATTTGGATTTCAGAGTTAAAACAAGAAAAAACATCTTATAAGAGCAAAGCATTTAACATTTTTACATATGGATATGCCTACTAGATTCTATTTTGATTAATTATATGAAAAGCTTCATATATGTAAAATATACATTTTTTTCCAGAATGTTTTATGCTTGTAAAGTTTTCATGATGATTTCATATATCAAAAATCTTTTTTCAATTGTAGAGTAAATATTAATACGTGACAATATGTCTGATCATTTTGGAACAATTGCTCCGAAATGGGATCCAAAAAACTTGGAGATACGGACTATGTCCGTGGAGAAGACACTGGAACCGCTGGTGTTGCAAGTCACCACATTGGTGAATACAAAAGGTCCTAGCAAGAAGAAGAAGGGAAAGTCAAAGAGGGCTAGTGCGCTTGTTGGTACTGTGGAAAAGGCAACTGCTAATTTTATTGAGAAAGGCGAAAAGATTGCATATGAAAATCCAGATATTACAGCAGAAATGCTAAGTGCTGTGGAGGAAGTGAGAAAAACAGGGACAGCAATGAGCATTGCTGCCAGGTATATAATGATTATTCATCTGTGCAATTGTAGGGGACAAATCTATAGTGTAACCAAATGAGAGATGATTTCTTGTAAAAGCATAAGTGTTGAAAGAATAAACTCTTTTTATTCGAAGCTTTGTTTCTGAAAAAAATCACGTTGAGTGATTCGGGTATGCTGCTTGGCGAAGATGTGATTTATTGTTTTGAAAACTGCTGCTATTAGTGTCTATTATTTATAAATATGAAAGGCATTAATCAAAGTCTATGAATAATATATAATAAGCACAACTTTGCTTACGGCAGTAGGCATAACATTTCCAGCAATTTCTGTATAGCAATTTCTTAATAAGATAAAAACATTGTCACATTTTTAATCCTCACTCATGATGTTACATAGATGTATTATTATGTAAACATGTATAATATTTTTCTATCAATTTTCATTTTCATCTATCTTTATTAAGTGCTTTATTAAATATTCAATGTGATTTTTTCAGAAATAAAGCCTTGAGTGAAAAACTTTATTTTATACTTTTGACTTATTTTTATAGGGAAGGATAAGGAATTATTCTTTATTTGATTGTACTATAGATTTGTTCCAACATGTATTATAACATTGACTTATGCTATGTTGTACCAATTTAATGTGAAAATTATTTATGCAGAGAATTTTCCGAGGATCCATGTTCATCATTAAAACGAGGCAACATGGTTCGCGCTGCGAGAAATCTGTTATCGGCGGTGACGCGTTTGCTTATTTTAGCGGATATGGTAGACGTCCATCTTCTTTTGAAATCATTGTATGTCGTGGAGGACGATTTGAAGAAGTTGAAGAACGCTTCTTCACAGGGAGAATTAATACAGAATATTAAGGAATTTGGCCGAAACGCTGCCGAATTGATTCATCAGGCGGCAAAGCGTCAGTATGAGTTGAAAGATCCGCAGCTCAGAGATGATTTGGCCGCCGCTCGGGCCGTTTTGAAGAAGCATTCTACTATGTTGCTCACTGCATCAAAGGTGTACGTGCAGCATCCCGATCTCGCAGCGGCCAAAGCAAATCGCGATTATGTACTAAAGCAAGTGTGTGAGGCCGTAAATACAATAAACGATGTTGCTCAAGGAAAAACGCCACCCGACAGCCAGCATCCTTATGATGGCCCGGGTGAATTGGCCGCCGCATTGGATGATTTTGACGAGAGAATGGTGATGTCGCCGCTTGCGTACAACGAGGTTCGCACACGACCGAGCCTCGAGGAGAGATTAGAGAGCATTATCAGTGGTGCCGCATTGATGGCGGATTCGTCGTGCACTCGGGACGAACGCAGAGAGCGCATCGTCGCCGAATGTAATGCAGTTAGACAGGCCCTCCAGGATCTTCTGAGTGAATACATGAACAACGTGAGTAGAATAGTGATTATAATTATGCAAAAAAAAATATTTGCGAATATAATAGCATTGTGTGTGTTATATTGAAGAGATTGGAAAAGAAACTTAGAGATTTTTCTTTTTATAAATATAAATCATATGAATATATGTAGATAACAATTTAATATATTGAATATAATTTATATAGATTTATTTTTAAATTTATATGGAATTATTTTTGATTCTTTCTTTAAATTTTGAGTAATACATTAAGTTAGATTGATGTGATATCACAGTTATTGCATTAATCATAATGTTTTTTCTTTAGCATAAAACAAACATAATTATAAATAATAGTTTATTATGTATCTTCATGAGTCTGTGAGATAAAATGGTTATTTTAGAAATAATGTGAAAAAAACTAATATTATATTTATGCATAAATATACAAGATTAATAATAAATCCATCTTCAAGCTATAGGAGATTTTGTTTCTCATTAGTTTTACATTGTAAAATCTTACACAACTACTGTGACTTACTTGTGATTTATTTTTTTTATTATTGAAACGATATTCATTCCATTTGTTTTTGTTGGTGATGGCCAGTTACAGCGCGCTCGGGGTGGGAGACGGGTAAATATGCGAAGTAATTCTACATTTTCTATGGGTTTTGTTGCTCATACACCCACATTATCTAGATCTTTCACACACTATCAATGCCTATCATTTAATGACCAGCACTAATCATTAGCTCATTATTAGCTATGTGCTTACAGTCTGTTTTATTTTTTAATTATCTACACTTTTATATGTAAATATTAAATAACTAATATCTTATGTAGTTATGCAAAATAACATAATGTTTAAACACAGTATACGATGCAATAAACAAAACAATAGATTAGCATAATTGTAGACAATTAGAATTATATATATAATTATGCACACATAGTGTATAAATATGTATATATATGTACACACACACACACACACACACACACACACACACACACACACACACACACACACACACACACAACAACT